GGGGGGTCCTTTTGTTCCCCAAACAAGATCTGGGTGGACATTTTGGGCTGCTGCAGGAGGGGGGGAAGTGGAAAAACAGCACTCTGAGGGCAGAAACCCTTGTTCCTGCTGGAATGCCTAGTCCAAACCACAAAGAGGAAGGCCAGCTGAAGTCACTCCAGGAAGTTTTCACAAGCCGAGTCTTTTTGTAGGAACCCAAGTTTGTGTGCAGCCTGGGAAGTTTTCTGGAGTCAAACTGTTGTGAGCTGCCTAGCTGAGGGACAGTCCCTAAAACTCATGCAGCTGCTTATAGCGTTTAGGGACCTCCTGCAAATTCCATGGTCTAGCTCACTGGTTCCCAAAGTGGGCAATACCGCCCCCTGGGGGGGTGCTGGAACAATCCAGGTGCAGATCCACAAACAACATCTTTTTGTCCACTTCTTGAAGGTATATTTCCAGGGGAGCGCTGAGTAATTGTTTTTCTGAAAAGTGGGCGGTAGGCCAAATAAGTCTGGGAACCTCTGGTCTAGATGCAAACCAATGAACCCTTTTAAAACAGTACCTAAACACTTGCGGAATCTATACTGAAACTGCAGTGGCATAGCCTGGTCTGAAACCCTAAAAGGACTTTGCAAACCAAGTCAAGACCCTTCTAAAAAGACTATACTTCCTACAACAACTCCTCAAGATCTTTTTGTAGACTTTCTCCCACGCAACCACACTTACCTCCATAAAAAATAACTGTGTTGTGTAGAAGAAGCTGAGCATCTGCTTTGAACTCCTCGTAACTCCTGTACTTTCCTTCATTTACTTTCTAAACAGATTTTTAAAACATATATATTAAGACATGCATTAGAGCGGTCAACAACTATATTTTTTCCCTCAGGAGCATCCAAAATATGACACCAAACTACAAGAAGCATCACAGCATGAAGCTGGAGAGCAGACTTGGCATAAGTATGAAGTCCCAATTTCAGTTTCCAGAATCTCCAGTTAAAGGGAAAGGCTTTTGCTGGGCAAAAGACATGACAGCTTATGTTCACTCACAGAGTTTCCCAGCACGGAGCATCTGATCTTCTAGAGTGGTCTTAAATTTTCATATGTATGTAATGTTCATCTTTATGCATCCTTTAATCTTCTTTTGACAAAGGCAGAGCCCCAACATTTCCCAGAACTGCAAGGGAACATACCTCTTGAATAGTTGGAACATCAACAGCCGTGTGCACCAGCCTACGATACATGGGGTGTTTGTTGTCCTTGCCTTTCTTGTTTAGATCGATAGCCTGAAAAGCCGCCACAAAGCATCAATTTAGAAACTGGGTCAAAGAAAGAGGTAAAGAAATTGGAAGTCTTCAGATGAAGGGCCGAAATCATATCTGCCTGACAAGCAAAACTGCACGTCAGTTAAGTGGTACTTTTCCACTCGGTCTGCATATCACTAGGCCAACCTGGGAAAAAGTCCTCTGCATTGAATTTGCAGGCACCTCCCATAGGCTATTCGTGTTAAAATCTGAACCAGGTAACCAAACAGCTAAACACTTGGTATGACTGCCTGCACCTAGGGTTTTGGCAAAAATGTTTGCCTCAAACACATACAACGGTTTTATAAACTGACAGGAAATTCTCAAGTAAAAATTCCTAGCAAAATTTTACCTTGATGTTCTCCCCCCCCCCCCAAATATTCTCAGTCATGGGAACTGATGGAGTTAAATGGATATCATATATATACAAAAAAGACAATAACTCTAGGAAAAGATGAAAGCAGTACGAAAAGAGGAAGACCTGAGATGAAATAGATGGATTCAAAGAAGCCAGTTTGCAAGACCTGAATTAGCAGTAAGACTTTTCTTTCACACACACACACACACACACACACACACACACACACACACACACAGAGGATTACTAAAAAAAATGGTAAAATATTTTTAATACTCACACAATGCTTCCCCACAATTTAGTGAACAGGGCAGTGTGTACCAAAGACTAAAAATATATCAGAACTGCATTTGGCAACTTGGGACTTAATATCATTGCTTTGAAAACATTAACAGGGCACAAGTTCCTTTTAAAGTACTGCTCAAAATTGAATTTTATAAGTAACATTTTAAAATGTCAAATTTGACATCAGAAAATTATAACAAATGAGCAATGTACGTAAAAGGTTTCAATTCCTATAGGAAGAATCAATGGGGAAAGGGTGTCGCTTAATCATAAAGGATGCAGACCCCCCCCCCATACACACCTGCTTAATGTGGGGAAACTCCTAGACAAGGGTTACTTCTGCCATCATTGAAATTACAGATATTTATGATGTTCTCAACAGTAAAGAAGAAGGATTGGATTTATACCCCGCCCTTCACTACCCGAAGGAGTCTCAGAGCGGCTTACAATCTCCTTTCCCTTCCCCTCCCTACAACAGACACCCTGTGAGGTCAATCTCCTTTCCCTTCCCCTCTCCACAACAGACACCCTGTGAGGTAGGTGGGGCTGAGAGAGCTCTTTCAAGGACTGCTCTGAAAGAACTTGTGATTGACCCAAGGTCACACCAGCAGCTACATGTGGAGAAGTGGGGAATCAAACCTGGTTCTCCTAACCATTATACCAAACTGGTACATACTCAGGGTTGGTTAAACCATAAACATGATTCCAAATTTAATATAATTTATGGAAGAAATATGCTCAGAGCCCACTCAGGCAGGGATGCCAAGTTGCAGCCCTGGAGATTTCAGTCACTCCTTACATTTGCACCTCAGCAGGGAGATAAGAGAGACAGTTGGCGTTTGCTCCCTCCCTGTACCCCGATCATTTTGCCAGTCCATTCCCCTGCCTCTTAACAGCAATTGTGACTCCAGCCTATTAGGCAGATGACGAAGGAGGCCAAAAGAATCAAGAGGGAAACTGGCTACTGGCAGAGAAGAGAAGCCACCACCTTCCTTCCAGTCTCCTGATTCACAGCAGGGAATTTAAAGGCACAAGGAGAATCTCGAGGTTGCAGTCTGGTAATCCTAATCCTAGATGCTACTCTATAAAGTACAATGGTTGTCCCTTATTAAAGAAACCATGGTTCATTCGTAATAGGAATTTAAACCAGTCAGTTGACTGATGGGTCAAATTTCATATGTTTGCATGTGAATAAAATAATAGCTTTGAAGCAAAAATGTACTGTGGTCTTTGATGCTGCATGCACACGCCTTGGCAGGCACCATCCCAGAAGAAGCATTTCTTTGAGAGACTCGGATGCCTCTTCCAAACTCCAAAACTGCCTGATTATCAATTAAAGATCACATCCTTATTAGGTGCAAACTAGATATTAAGTTTCAATACTCACTCGTTCCTTCATACGGGAGACAATGAAGCGCAAATACGTGCTCATCTCTTGCTTGCTTGTGTTCTTCTTCTTAATGCTCTGGTAAAGAATAGCAGCGTCATTTCAGATTTGTGAATTTTACTAATTGTGTCTTTTTAAAGCTCTACAATACAAAGATTTAAAAATGCCAAGAACAATCGTTTAGCTGCATTTTAATCCAAGCAAGCTAGAAAAAAATATTTTCTACAGTCTATTAGCCAAAGTCATATGTCAAGAAATTAATGCTGATTAGTCAAGAGTATCTTTAGAATATGCTGCTGGACTCTCCATTCTCAAAGCCTCTGCATTTTCCATATTGTTTAATGTATCATGTCTAATATTTTATGCTTTGATTTTTGTAATTCTAGTCCTATTACATAGTTAATTAGACATCTCATCCTATTGATTGCCCCATCTTGCACTGTGTAATCTCCTTTGAGTCTCAGTGGAGAAAGGCAGACAAAAAAATAGATAAATAAATAAACCTGTCTCTCTACTACAGGGGTGGCCAAACTTGCTTAGCGTAAGAGCCACACAGAATAAACGTCAGATGTTTGAGAGCCGCATAACGTGAACAAATATCACAGGCATGTGTTTACTGGAAAATATGCAAATTTGCTTTTTATGAGACTTTAAATGAGACTGGCAAAAATAAAAACAAAAGGGATAAAAATAGATATTGATAATGATATTTATTTGTACAATTATATTTGTAGGCTGGGGGGGGCTTTGAGAATGCATTTAAAGCTAAAGTTGCTTTCTTCCTCTGCTCCCTGAACCTCAAGCCTACCCAGGGAAGGGAAGACTGGCTGGGGAAGGGAAGACCAATCAGGAAGGCATGCCTCCCCTTTGCTTCCCCAGCCGCCCTGCCGGGAGCCACACAATATGTGTGAAAGAGCCGCATGTGGCTCCCGAGCCTCAGTTTGGCCACCCCTGCTCTAACACACACACTCACAAAATGCAGTACTCGTACCCCTTAAAATAAAATAAAAATGAAGGAAGGCTCTCTACAGTTTTATAATTAATAAAGTTAATTGCCATTGTATAACTATATAGTTCCACAACGCTCTTAGCATGCTATTACATTTGTAAACCCCCTTAATTGGAAGGAACTTTACTGAATTAGTGAAATTGCTGAAATCTATGAAACGTATTGTCCACATACAGTTACTTAAGTCTGGCATGTTAGCATGGAAAGTGTTGTGATTTGACTGTCCTGGCCCTAGGAGGTATACTGTTGCTATTCCTGTTCTACAGTCCAAAAACTGCGGCTGAGATAACGACTTATCCAATTTCAGCGTGCAAGACTGACTTGCTCCTTGAACCTAGGTCGTTTGGGTACAACTAACACTTTCTATGCTGTACCACCCTAAAGCCTTGTCTGGGCAATTTAGGATTGGGGAAAGCAACCTTTTAGGACTGAGTGCCAAATCCCCCCTCCCCCAATCATCTCCCTGTGAAGATACTGGTGCACCAGCACACTACGAGCCAGGGTGGGATATGGGAGAAATGAGGCTAGGGACACAGGGAGCAAGCTGAGCTCCAGCAGTGCTTTTCAGCACCTCAGGGCTTGCCTCAGTTCCTTGGGTGGAGAACCAGCCCCAGCTGCCCAGCTAAATACTGCTGCTCAACACATGTGCCAGGTGTTGCCCACTCTTAGTCTGTGACATCATTTTACAGATGGTCAACCTGTCCTGGGTGGCCCAGGCTAGCCAGATATCATTGGATCTCGTAAGTTAAGCAGGGTCAGCCCTGGTTAGTTCTTGGATGGGAGACCACCAAGGAAGTACAAGGTTGCTATGCAGAGGCAGACAATGGCAAACCACTTCTGTTTGTCTCTTCAAAACCCTACGGGGTACCATAAGTCAGCTGTGACTTGACAGCATTTTCCAACATCACCCTGTGTAAATTAAGGGTGGGCAAGCTGCCAACTGAAGTACGGAACTAGGATCTACTGAAGAGTACGGTAGGGTTGCCAGGTACCCCCAGTGTGTGGGGGATCCCACTGGTTTCCAGTGCTCCTCCCCAGCGCCAGCCAGCAGAGAGAATCACCCCCCCAAAACCAGGGAAGAAGCCAGAAATAAATGTAATGTGCCTACGTCACCCAGAAGTTCTGTAGCCCCGTTGGTGATGTTGGGGGGACGGGGGGCGACCAATAAATGTAATGTGCCTACGTCACCCAGACGTTCTGTAGCCCCATTGGTGATGTTGGGGGGACGGGGGGTGACCCTCTGGTTTTTGGGCAAAACTCTATGGTAGAATTAGCTTCAAACCATGGAGTTTTGCCCAGAAACCAGAGTGCCCCCCTGGACGTCATCAACGTGCCTACAGAACGTCCGGGTCACGTAGGCACATCATGTTTATTTCCAGCTCCTGGGTGATGTAGGCATGTCGTGTTGTTCCAGTTCCTGGTAAGTCCCCCCAAATCCCCTACCCACGAGTCCTAGGGACCTGGCAGCCATAGACTACAGAGAAGATTTCATCAGGGAATGGTGAGTCCATTAATGGAAGTAGAGAGAAGGAAGCTGATACTATGGAATTCATATTTATCCTACCCTTTCTTTCCTCATGGAACATCAGGCACTATAGATAAGTCTCCCAGGATGCCTACCATCAAGGCAATTAGGCCCAGGCCTGCTGGTAGATCATACTCTGGTCCCATGAAGTTGATAAGTCAAACATGGGATTGTAAAGAAAAGCCACCAGACCCTCAAAGCTAGAATGTGGTGACAAGAAATAGCCTTTCATATACTTTGCCTAGCAATCTAAACTGTTTTAGGGTCAACTTTATGCTAGTTCTCAATGATTCCCATTGATTAGGGGGATAAATAGAAAAAAAATGTTGGTTTGTTTGCTATGTCCTTGCTGTCCATACTAATTTATCTTTGTAGGGGTGCAGAGCTCTTGTGTATGGAAAAAACAACAATGGCTCAGTCCAGTCATTACGTGAAACCATGGCTTGTTATAACTATGGTTGGCTTGGGAAACCAGGATTCTGTTCACAGACAATTACTCTGATCTTGGTTTTGCCTCACAAATTGTGCTTTCATTGCTTTCTCTTTTAGCTCATATGATCAGAGAACACTTCTGGATTAAACTAGGATGTTTGCATCCAGACATCAGGCAACACCGCAGTTAATACCGTGCTTAATAAATCATATCCTGGCTTGCTAGATTTAAAAAATCATACTGACTTTAGTTAGCTTAATTAAACTGTGGTTTCAAGTGATGTCTAAAACAAGCCATTGGGTCCAAGAAACAGACAATGTTTGCAGGTGAGGTATCTCATATATGAGCACGAATATCCTCTTTTTTCTACCCAGTGTCTTAAACTGTCTTATTTAGCAAAAAATATAGAAATCTTATTTCTTTAGAAAACATACAGCAGTGGGGTGGGGTGTGGTCTGGTTTGGTTTGGTTGATGTGGAAGATTCCTAAACCCAAAATGTTCTCCTTCCATTTAGAAGCTCAAAATTTAGCTACCATTCCTGAACTACAGTATACAGAGAGAGACGCCATCTTGTGTTATAAGACCAGATAAATATGCTAAAAGACTGATCTTAAAGCAAAACCATTCTTTTGTAAATGCTTAGGAAAGCCTTGCTAACCACCATTTCCGACTTTGTGTTTCTAATGCATGCAGGCGGCTTGGTATGTTGACTGCAATCCTTAACCCACTGTCCCTGAATACTTCTACTGAAGCAAATTGATTTCAATGGGCAGCTACGACTGGCAATAATGTGATTTAATTGTGCATTAGTGAAATGGCAAGAGTCAACATGTGATCGCCAGGCTGATATCCATCTCAGGAGTTAAAAAACAACAACAACCAATTGTCTAACCTTCAGTCCTTGCATGCATCAGACAAAGAGAGCTGTGTTTCTCGAAAGCTTATGCTACAATAAAGTTTGTAAGTCTTAAAGGTGCTACTGGGCTTTCTACTATTTTGCAGCAACAGACTAACACAGCTAACTCCTCTGGATCTATGCATATGTTTCAACACTCAAGATAAGACCAAGTTTGAACCACCGTAATGCTTGAATGACTTAGATACTATCTATCAAATCCAAATAAAATTTGCAAAAAGCAAGATAACAAGCAACTTTGTTTGAGCCTTCTCCCCCCCCCCCCCAAGCAAGAATAAGTTATGGTGATTCATTACTCTCTGAGTATTACATACAGCATTGTTTGTTATCTTGTAAGAATTACAAGTTATTTTGTAAGAATTACAATTTGCCCTGGCTTGGATGCTATTAGGAAGTGGGGTTTCCCCCCCTGTTGTCTAGCAGCACTGTGGTTCTCCCCTGTACCTCCAGGGTTTTCCCATCTTTCCTGAGATCTTTCCCATACTAGCTTTGCTGTGATGTTTTGGGAAAGACTGCATTTAAGTGGCACTCATGGGAAGGGGAATACAAAGGGAAACCTGCCATGTGAGAGCCCTGTTTCTGCTGCACTTGCAGTGGCATTCTGCGAGGGTTGCCAGGTCTGGGTTGGGGAGGGGAGGGGCCTCAGCATGGTACAATGCCATAGAGTCCACCCTTCAAAGCAGCCATTTTCTCCAGGGAAGCTGATCTCTGTCAGCTGGGGATCAGTTGTAAAAGCGGGAGATCTCCAGGCCCCACCTGGAGGCTGGCAACAGGAATTGTGAGATGCTCATACTTTTTTTTTTTTTTAGAGGACACAGTTTCTGAGATGCTCTGCACTTAGCTGGGCAGAAGATACAACCCAGTAGTTAGAATGCAAACAAGAGAAACAGTCATGCATGGAATTAAGCTCTTTGAGTGTTCTACAGCACTGCTAATGTGCTTGGGAAACAAATTCCTGACTAAGCATGGAGGAGACCACCAAGGAATCCCAGGGTCACTATGCTGAGGAAGGCAACGGCAAACCATCTCTGTTAGTCTCTTGCCTTGAAAACCCTATGGGGTCACTGTAAGTCACCTGTGACTTTACCGCACTTTAGACACACATCTTTACTACAAAGGTACTGGAAAATTGCCCTGGAATAAACAGAATCATATGTGACTATTCTGGCATTGCTTCCAATGACCCATCTATCA